CCCACTCGAACGTGCGTGCGTGCGTGTTTGCGTGTCTGCTTGCGTGCGTGGGTGCGTGCGTGTGTTGTACTAGTAACCCACTGAGATACCATGTGGATGTTTAACATGAATACCCCATTCAGACACAGTACAGTACCAGGTTTTACCGTCTTTTGGTATAACGCGGCCGTGGATCGAACCTCCGACCTTCCGCTCTCTGGACGGACGCTCTACCACTAGACCACGGAGGCGGTGTTCACCCAATGGGCCTCAGGCAGAGTGAGTGAGTGAGTATGGTTTTACGCCGCTTTTAGCAATATTCCAGCAATATCACGGCGGGGGACACCAGAAATGGGCTTCACACATTGTACCCATGTCGGGAATCGAACCCGGGTCTTCGGCGTGACGAGCGAACGCTTTAACCACTAGGCTACCCGACCGCCCCGCCTCAGGCTAGAGGGGCTGGCAGGTCTCCGTGCAGGTAGAGAGGTATCGTCCCGGAGTATAAGATCTAGTTTCAATGAGAAAGATGAAACCTAAACTGGTATACACTTACAAAAGAAAGTATACACTTGTCTATAAAATTGGATTTGATAAACAAAATTACAAAGTTAACATATTCAAAACGTTACGAGGCTGAAAACTGTCGTAAACCTTACACGTACTCTACACGTACCGTACTAAAAAATCTTGTTTTGTAAGCGCTGGGCTGACAGTGTCACGCAAGCCTGGGCGTCGTATATACAGCGACGCCTTCAAGTTCAACAAACAGTAAAAAGCTTACCAAACGACAAACGAGCTTATGCGACGGTAGAAAAAGGTTATACAACGGCAGAAAGAGGTTATACAACGGCAGAAAGAGGTTATACAACGGCAGAAAGAGGTTATACAACGGCAGAAAGAGGTTATACAACGGCAGAAAAGGGTTATACAAAGGCAGAAAGAGGTTATACAACGACAGAAAGAGGTTATACAACGACAGAAAGAGGTTATACAACGACGGAAAGAGGTTATACAACGTCAGAAAGAGGTTATACAACTGCAGAAAGAGGTTATACAACGGCAGAAAGAGGTTATACAACTGCAGAAAGAGGTTATACAATGGCAGAAAAAGGTTATACAACGTCAGAAAGAGGTTATACAACTGCAGAAAGAGGTTATACAACGGCAGAAAAGGGTTATACAACTGCAGAAAGAGGTTATACAACGACAGAAAGAGGTTATACAACGACAGAAAGAGGTTATACAACGGCAGAAAGAGGTTATACAACGGCAGAAAGAGGTTATACAACTGCAGAAAGAGGTTAGACAACGGCAGAAAGAGGTTATACAACGGCAGAAAGAGGTTATACAAAGGCAGAAAAAGGTTATACAACGACAGTTACAATTAATGCACTGCAACCGGTATTATCAGTGAGTTGATAATTCACCGATTTCATAACGTCTTCAATACACGTGCAGCCAACGCGTTGTTAGTAAGTCATTGTCAATTATTAATTATCATCCCCATATTTAAACATGGTAATGTGAACAACCCGGGCAACAACCGGGGTATTTCTCTAACTAGTATTTTAGGTAAGGTATTTACCAGTATTATCAATAACAGACTGATTCAGTGGTCGAACATGCAGGTGAGTGAGTGGGTGAGTTTGATTTTACGCCGCTTTTAGCAATATTCCAGCAATATCACGGCGGGAGACACCAGAAAAGGGCTTCACACATTGTACCCATGTCGGGAATCGAACCCGGGTCTTCGGCGTGACGAGCGAACGCTTTAACCACTAGGCTACCCGACCGCCCCCGAACGTGCGGGACCTGATACCCGAAGCGCAGGTTGGATTCAGGAAAGGCTGTTCCACATTTGACCATATTTTCACTCCGTATGAAGTAATTGACAAATCCCTCTCATATAATAAACCGCAATTATATGTTGCCTTTGTGGACTTCGAAAAGGCATTCGATTCTGTAGATAGACGTCGATTGTGGAAATGTTTACAAAAGCACAACTTAAATTGGATGGCAAAATGTATATAATACTTAAAATCAATTTATCAAAATGTTAAATCATGTGCTCGATGTGTTGGGGCTGTGACTGACGTTTTCGACGGTCCAATCGGTCTGCGTCAAGGATGTGTATTGAGCCCTATGCTGTTTTCATTTTTCATGAATGAACTATATAATGAAATTTCACTTTCTGGAAAACATGGAGTCCAACTATTTCCTGACATAATAGAACTTTTGATGTTGGAAATGGAAACTTGAAGTAAACAAGTATATGAAACAAATATTGTGAATTTTAGAAAAGGAGGTCCTACTGAACTGAGAGAAAAGCTGACATATAAAGGTGAAAATATGAATATTGCCGGGGAATATAAATACCTTGGAATATTATTCACAAGTACATTTAACTCATGTAAATCGGTGTTAAAGAAAGCTTTCGTTCATTTGCAGCCTGCTGTGTATATACTTGGCGTTGCTACACCTCACATTTTCTTGAAACTGTTTGAATGTCAAATACAGCCGATCTTATTGTAAGGCCAGCAATATGGGGCTGTCGAGAGTTATATTTAATCGAAAAGGTTAACCTGTTCGCCTGTAAAAGATTTCTTAATGCGGGCATGTCAACTCCAAGTAATATGGTTTATGGTGAATTTCGGAGGTTCCCACAATATATAGCATCTTATACTCGATGCCAACGCTATTGGCTGAAGTTATTATGTATGCCTGAACATCGTTTGCCAAAGAAAGCCTATAATATGCTGGTATATCTTGATAATATTGGGAAGAACACATGGGCTTCCCGTATACGCTTTACTCTTTTTTATTATGGCTTTTGATTCATATGGACCTCGCAATCTATTAGTGACATAAACATGTTTTTACAACAATTTCGTACTCGTGCTATAGATATGTTCGACAGGATTGGCATTCTACACTTTCAGGAAGTTCGAGATACGACATATATCGTAATATTAAGCCTCTCCTTGAACCAGAGTCCTCCGCAATACCTTCATACGTTTTAGACTTGGTGAATGATTTAAAAGTAAATAGTGGAAGATATTTAAATATTGAAAAGTCACTAAGAATTTGTCCCGTCTGTAACCTTGGTGCTGAAGACGAATTTTCACAGTAAGGCTTTCAAAAGATAGAACTGGTTACATTTGAACACATCCTGTTATGCCTGGGAATATGGATAGTTTTGAAACCCGGAGTAGTAATCCTGCCTGCCAGTTACTGATGTAAACAAGCCATGATGTAAAAAAACATGATATACAGATTTACACAAAGAGATATAAAATGTCAACGCCAGATTGTGAGTATGGTTTTACGCCGCTTTGAGCATTATTCCAGCAATATCAAGGCGGAGGGACACCAAAAATGGGCTTCACACAGTGTACCCATGTCGGGAATCGAACCCGGGTCTTCGGCGAACGCTTTAACCACTCGGCTACCCGACCGCCGTCAACGCCAGAGAATAATCTGTCTTATTTATTGTCTGAAACACATTCCAAGTCATGATAAGTCATGCTTTAAACAAATAGGTCATAATATGCTGCTTTAAACAAATAAGTCCTAAAATAGTAATTTAAACAAATAATCCATGGTATACTTATCTAAGCTAGTTAGGAACTCTATGGGGATTCCGGGTTAGAATAGGCCGCCAGTGCCCATTGCTTGTCGGAAGAGCCCAAATGGGGAACGGGTGGTCAGGCTCGGTGACTGTTTAATGACTACAATTAAAGTTCAGAGAATTCGAGATTCTCCCGAGTCACGACATCCGTGCTTGTAGGATTCACCAACTGAAATGACGTTCAAAGCTTTGTTTAACCTGCAGGAACCTCGGTACTGACTTGAACTGAATTTACAAATAATGTACTGATCATGTTTCTAAAAGGGGGCGCGGGTGGCCCAGTCGTCTAAGGCGCCGTGACTCGCCGTGCAGAGTTGCGTACCTTGGACGTGTCAGAAACCTATGATTGTGGGTTCGAATCCCGATTCGCCCCGATTAAGTTCCTAGATTTGTCAGCACCATACCCGTGCTCGTGGGTTTCACCGAAGTGGTAAACGTCTGAGACCTGCATCACTTCGGTAAGCTGACACGCCGTGATATGACTGGAATAATGTTAAAAGCGGCGTTAAACCCAACTCACTCACTCACTCACTCATGTTTCTAAATGTCGCCACTTTATTAAGATTGATGAACAGTTTGCTAATATAACAAAAAAAACTTAGTACTAGGGCCTTTTAAAGACGTTGAAGCAGGTTGTACAATCTCATTAAAATCAGATCTTATTTCTCGCTACCGCTAAACAAAGATCTGAGGATATCCCAATGCGGGTCATGTCAGAACGACCTTTCATCTGACCAATCAGAGCATCGCTTATCAGATCATGAAAGTGACAGTTGGAATGTGATTTTTGATCGTGCGACCTCGAAAAAAACACACACGGGGTATTCCGTACGACATTTATGGGCTTTATGTATGTATTCATACAATCTAGACCATGTATTAGCCATTCCAGAATGTTCTTTTGTTGGCTATTGTCGACTTCTTGTTAGTCATTCTATTGGTCGGTACAAAGTTAGCGGAAGGTCGGTCTGATGTGATCCGTAATGGGATGTCCTCAGATCTTCGTTTAGCGGTAGCGAGATGAAGCAGGTCGTGCTTCCAACATGAAACACAAAACATGATCAGGATCAGTCCTGCTACATTAAGTATTTTAATTACTTTAATAAGATATACGTCAATTTGAATGTGTTAACTAATAAGATCACCCGTGAACCCATGCTTGCCGTAAAAGGCGACTAACGGGATCGGGTGGTCAGGCTTGCTGACTTGGTTGATGCATGAAATCGTATCCCAATTGCGTTGATCGATGCTCATGATATCAATCATTATATTGTCTGGTCCAGGCTCGATTATTTACTGACCGCCGTCATACAGCTGGACTATTGCCGAGTGCGGCGTTAAACAAAACAAAATAATAAGGTGATATGTTAATCAACTGGATGACATAGACATATGTTTTTGTTTATGTAACACATATGAACCATAAGCTGAAATATACTTGAAGAGTTTGTGTTTGTACACAGATACATCTTCCTTCCGCAGTTTACAATTTGTATCAGGCGAGCTTCGGGACCCTGCATTATTTCCTTTAATCTGGCGCCGAGCGTCTGGATCTGGCTTTGTGTTGCGCTACGACCTAGACCTCCTGGCCCTGAGTAGGAGGATGAAGAACGACACTAGTCTGTAGGACACGAGGAGGGTGACGAGGAGCACCACGTCAAGGAGGACGTTGTCCTGCAACACAAAACAATACGGTACCATGTCAAAACCTCAAAACCGTTGACGTCAAGGGTCACAGGGAGACTACTCTTCAAACCTTAGAGGCCAAACCTTGTTGATAATTTTTACCTTAATCTTTATCAATAAAGTCACGAACGTGATCTTAAACAAATGTTAATGTCCTTGCGCGTCAAAATTCATGATATTAACACAAAAACAGTGTCGAATAACGAATTTCTGTACCAGAATTTTCATGTGAAATATGTGAGGTGGATGTTGGGAAATCCAAAATGGCTGTTACTGCCGCTTTTCGGTCTCAAATTAGGTCAGTAAGAACCATCTTGGATTTCTACTGACGGTATACGGGATCATATATATGGGGTTAGTAGTTCTGCTCTCTGATTGGTCAATCTCACTTTGAGGCATAATAAAGATGTGTATTGGTATATGGTGTTGTATATATAGTTGTCATGTCATATAGATATTGTGTCGTATATATAGGTGTCGTATATAGGTACTTTCTCGTGTAGATAAGTTTCACGTGTAGTGTTATACATAGGTATGGGGTGAGTGAGAGCGTTTTACGCCGCTTTTAACAGACTATGGTGAGTACACGTGTCATACAGACTGTGGTGAGTACACGTGTCGAACAGACTGTGGTGAGTACAGGTGTCATACAGTGAGTGAGTGAGTTGGGTTTAACGCCGCTTTTCACAGTATTCCAGTTATATCACGGCGTGTCAGCTTAATGTGGGAGGAAAGCCCGAAGTGATGCAGGTCTCAGACGTTTACCACTTCGGTGACACCCAAGAGCACGGGTATGGTGCTGACAAACCTAGAAACATAATCGGGGCGGACCGGGATTCGAACCCCCAATCATAGGTTTCTGGCGTGCCCAAGGGACGCAACTCTGCACAGCGACGACTTTGCCACCTGTGCCCCCATATAGGTATGGTGTCATTCATATAGGTGTAATATATAGGAATGGTGTAGTTTATTTGAATATCGTACATATTTGTACTGAGTGAGTGAGTATGGTTTTACGCCGTTTTTTGTGTGTGCAATATTCCAACAACATCACAGCGTGGACACCTGGGGCCACTTGCACAAAGCGATCTTAACACTAAGATGATCGTAACTGTCATACTTTAACATAGGCTTACGCTAGTCTTAGCGCTAAGATCGCTTTGTGCAAGTGGGCCCAGAAACTGGCTTCACGCATTGCTATCCTTACGCCCCTCGTGCATATATTGGTTTCATATATAGGTATGGCGTCCCACATAGGTATCGTATATATAAGGTGTCATATATCGGTATGCTGGCGTGTATAGGTTTTAACTCCCAGGGGCAACATGAACAAGTCCCACCTCACTGAAGCTGAGATAGTCTAAAACATCCTTCCCGTCTCGGAAACAGCGTGTCTCTGTTTCTGTTGTGTTTCCTGACGTGCTGTTAGTAGCCGGACATTCTGTAACAGTGGATAGAGAAAAGTTCCTGAGTCAGCAATACCCGGGTGAGTGAGTGAGTATGACTTTACGCTGCTTGTAGCATTATTTCAGCAATATCACGGCGGTGGACACCACAAAAAGGCTTCACACAATGTACCCATGTGGAGAACCGAACCTGGGTCGTCAGCGTAAAGAGCGAACGCCTTAACCACTAGGCTACCCCACCGACCAACAGCAATACCATAGCGGATAAATACATGTCTTGATCAGAACAATCATAATACCCCACGTGATATTCCACAACTAGGCGTGGACGGTCCTGGGGATTGTGGGGTTCCGGTCAGAATAGCCCCCCAGTGAGTGCTGGCTGTCGTTAGAGCACACCCGTGAAGATTCCGGGGTGGAATAGGTCTTCAGCAACCCATGCTTGTCGTAAAAGGTGACTATGCTTGTCATAAAAGGCGACTAACGGGATCGGGTGGTCAGGTTCGCTGACTTGGTTGATGCATGTCATCAATCCCAATTGCGTGGATCGATGCTCATGATATTAATCACTGGATTGTCTGGTCCAGACTCGATTATTTACAGACCGCCGTCATATAGCTGTAATATTGCTGAGTGCGGCGTAAAACAACAAACCAACTAGAACAACAACGTTAAAGCAGGCTGATATGGGGATCGGGTGGTTTTACCCCGACTGCGTGCCACCGGTGGGACAGCATACGCTCACCTTTTCGCGAACACCTAATATCATCACAACTGAAAGTGAGTCATAATCACATGCATATGAGCGGAAGTCGTTCAATGGACTCTGCTTTTGATGGAAATTTCATGTGATTGTGAAAATGATTTGTCTGTGGTTTTTAATTTATACTCCCTCTATAAGGGCATCTCGCATGCACCTACCCAGGTACTTTATATTCATCCACTGGTTGACGGCCATGATTTCAAATGCATATTGGTACCAGGACAGGTACTTCAGCCACAGGAAGTACACAGGAGTCGAGCTGAAATAATGATTGTTTATCTTGAGTGAGTGAGTGAGTGAGTGAGTGAGTGAGTGAGTGAGTTTTACGCCGCTTTTAGCAATATTCCAGCAATATCATGGCGGGGGACACCAGAAATGGGCTTCACACACTGTACCCATGTCGGGAATCGAACCCGGGTCTTCGGCGTCACGAGCGAGAGCTTTAACCACTAGGCTACCCTACCGCTTCCCGACCAGAAAGACAATCCTATTCCGTTTACATATAAAGCTGATTGTCTATTTCACAAAACGAAGGTATGCTAGATCAGGTGAGGCTACACAGTAGGATTATTGCCGTTAACTAACAAACATCAAATTACTTATAACAAAAGTCAGACACCACAATGTTCTGAAGAGCGCCAAAGAGCACCAAGTTTCGTTTGACGTGATTGTTTTAATATACTGCTGTACGGTGATGGGTAGTTTCTTTTGACTGCTAGCGCCAAGCTTGAGTGAGTGAGTGAGTGAGTGAGTGAGTGAGTGAGTGAGGATTGAGTGAGTGAGTGGGTGAGTGAGTGAGTGATGTTTATCTTGAAGGAAGCCATCGAGCGTCCTGCAAAGGCTGGAAGATCTAAAGTAAAGTATGATTTAACATGTCACAAAGAAATTCCCCTTTGCACACGACACCAGTGTTATAACTACCACAGCAAAACCTTGAATGGACGTATCTAGTAAAACAGCATCTTCCCGATGCAAGGGAGTTAACTGTCTGTAAAAATCCAGTTTCCACCTTTGGCGAACTTGGCTGGAATCTCAGGGCTCGATCGTAGCGCCACCAGTGGCTATTACGAGTTATGTCCCTTCTGTGTCCCTCCTATTGTCCAATCAGAGTCTATCTCTCATAGCACTTGCATTTGCTTCAAACGCTCAGTCAAGACGATCAGATCGATAATCAATATGTATATTGTGAAAAAGGCGTCCTTCTGTGCGTGATGCATCAAAACACGTGAGCAACTTGATTAGAAACATGAAAGGATTTGGAAAATATCTCTTGAATTTGAGTTGACGGTACACATGCTTTGCAAATCCTGCAATCGACCGAAATCTGCACGGCCGTTAATTGACCGGATGTCGATTTCGTTACGTGATATAGATTGGACCATGCACGGACTCGTTTGTCCAGCCAAGATATAACTACATAATTCAAGCCACGCTTCTCCAAGGAGGGAAACTGGAATGTTACAGACAGTTAACTCCCTTGCCTCGGGAAGATGCTACAACATGAACTTATGTGTAGAATCCCCCGCGATGTTGATGGTACTGTACTACAGAACCGGTTTTAGCATTAAGCAGCGCTTGGGATTTAAGCGCCCGATTTCCACCCTTTAAATATCTTCTGTAAAACTGCAGTCAGAGTTGGGAGCAGGTTCACTAAAACAGATGGTGTTATCATGTTCATGTGGATTGGTCATTTAAGTGTGTGTGCGGGGGGTATTGGTCTGAGCGCTCTATCATATTTTGCTGATTTCCCCCTCAAGTAAAATGTTTTAATGCCAAATACATCCTAAATGCTCATGACCATTGAAGATCCGGATAGAATAGGTCTTCAGCAACCCATGCTTGCCGTAAAAGGCGACTATGCTTGTCGTAAGGGGCGACTGACGGGATCGGGTGGTCAGGCTCGCTGACTTGGTTGATGCATGTCATCGATACCAATGGCGTGGATCGATGCTCATGATGTCAATCACTGGATTGTCTGGTTCAGACTCGATTATTTACAGACCGCCTTCATATAGCTGGAATATTGCTGAGTGTAGCGTTAAACAACAAATAAACAATCAAACCTCAATACACGTAACATTTTTTTATGATCTGACTGACAAGGCTTATGTAATGAATACGTGCACATGCAAAGCCTCCTTTTATGGGTGGGTCAATGTGAACTGACTTGCTGTGCTAATATTATAAAGTTAACCCTCATCGTCAACTCTTTTCAGGCTTCGCAATGTTAGATATTTTGTTTCGAATATTTTACTCGATTTCACAAGTACTTCCCTAGATATTTGACTTCAAAACATTTACAGCCTGTTACAGATATATCCATTGATATCACTGATATCAGCTTCCGATACGCATCGGCTCTGCCTCTTCATTTCACTAATAATCCGTGATTTTGTGAATCTTCATTATACAAACTAAATATTAAAATGGTCGAATTGATCCAACAGATCAACAGGTGATTGCACAATCGGATGAAAATATCCTGAAAATGGTGATGGACTGTTGTTGCAATACAAAGCCCTGTTCTATACACAGAGACTAGTTTGGGCCCGATAGTGTCAGTTTTTAACATTGCTTTTAACAATGTGAAGCAGACATTTTGGAAGCACCCCACTCTTCATCCCCAGTGGATTCAGTGAACGTGCTTATCAGATACAGAGAAAGATTGCGCAGTGTGTTTAAATCCGAAGAACAATACGTGATCCTGGCTTTTTGAAACTATAACTATGTATCAGAAAATATATTGATCGAGCTACTGCAGCAAAAAATGAAACACTAATTCAAACTCCTGCTGAAATACCAATGTGCCTCAAATCCATACATGTACCGGAAATAACATGTAAAATAACATTCGTTAATTGAACTCTTCGTGTGCGTGTTATCAATATTAAATAATATTTGAAATTAAACCAAAAAACTATTCTAAAAAATAAAACTGGCATTTTGTTCATGTGCCTACAATTCTTACGCGTTATTGAGAAACATCCCGCCGAACAACACCATTGGCAGCAGGGACGGGGGCGCCAGTGCTAAAGCTATCTCCACCGACGGCGACACTGTGGACAGCATATACCCTGAAATAGACAACCAAAAGTCAATCTATGTATTTCGGGGTAGTCAATGTCCAATAGAAATCGCAAAAAACACGATGAGACTTGGCGAACACAGGAACTCGTTATTGGTCAGTAAATAATAATATATACCCCCTATATGTAAGTAGAGAATATAGGGGGGATATATTTTTATTTACTGACCAACAACGAGTTCCTGTGTTCGCAAAATACCAATAGTAAACTGCCGGGTAAAAGAAACTACACACCCATTATTGATGGGAGGTATAAACGAAATAAGCCAGAAATCGTTGTTCGATGGGAAGTATTTGATACGGGTATCATAGTTGTGTTTTGGATGCAGTATTTCAGAAACTCTTGTCAGCCTTGTAACGGTTTGATAACGTTTGAATTATTTGGTCAAATCCATTTCTTAAGGTGTATACTTTTATTTCCACTGGCAGTTTATATTACATGTCTCCTTTCTAACTAATACTTTTCATTTTGGCACCTTATTCCGAAGACACCATGTCAGTCACAGTGCGTTAGATTCGCAAGGGAACCAATATCGAGGGGCTTAAGACCCTCTTCGGTAACCTCCCATTTGTTAGATAGCCAGTCATTAGGCACCTTAAAGCAACATTTCCAGATGAATGTATAAAATAACACCATATTAATCCGTATTTTATTATTAGTGGTCTAATTTTTATACCTTGAGTGAGTGAGTATGGTTTTACGCCGCTTTTAGCAATATTCCAGCAATGTCACGGCGGGGGACACCAGAAATGGGCTTCACACGTTGCACCCATGTCGGGAATCGAACTCGGGTCTTCGGCGTGACAAGCGAACGCTTTAACCACTAGGCTACCCGACCGCCCCCTTCCAGGTTTGAATAACGGAGGATAGGGAGTTAACTGATAATAAAAGTCCAGTGGAAACTTCATTTTTGCAGTCAGTTAATTCCCTTGCCTCGGGAAGATGACAGCATATTCGTTAAACATGAATATATTTTTAAATGGTCTTCAACATTCCTGGCCAACTCGTGTTATTCCGGGACAGGCCGAATAGCAACTCGTGCATCGCTTGGCTATTCTTGCGACTTGGTTCTGTCTAAGCGAAACAGGCATAGCTAAAAGAATTGTCAACTCGTTGCGTAATGATTCACGTACATGTCCCCCTCATATCATATATATCACAGATGCTATTGAAAACACATCGGGACTTACATCGGGACAGTAACATTAGTAAAATCAAAACTTATTCCGGAGGGATTCTTTCACCATATTCTCGAAGTCACACGCGCATTCTGATTGCTTTGTCGCATTTTTTTTTTTTTTTTTTTGTGTGTGTGTGTGTGTGTGTGTGTGTGTGTGTGTGTGTGTGTGTGTGTGTGTGTGTGTGTGTGTGTGTGTGTGTGTGGCTGCTTGTACTAGTCAGGACTAATGCCGATTTTATAGTGCTAACCCATTGAGATACCATGCAGCTGTTTAACATGAATACCCCACTCAGACACAGCATACTGACTCCGAACGAACCGACCAGTCCTTGTTTTAGCCCCTTCATGCCGAGCGCCAGGCAGGGTAACAACAAGTACCATCGTTTATCGTCTTTTGATATGACACGACCGGGGCTCGAAAGCAAGATCTTCCTCTCCCCGGTCGGGCGCTCTACCACTAGACCACGGAGGCGGTCCTCTATTTAATGCCTTGATCTAGACGTAATTGGTTCCTGGGAGACAATGAGACATTGAATCTCAGCTCTTTGGAGTTATCATTAACTGACAGGTTTGTATACATTACACAAGTTGAGGTCGCAAACAAACACATTTAAAGTGGGGTTAGGGGTAAGTGAATATAACTTGCAGGTGCTGCCAATTTGCAATAGCTTAGTCCCCCTTTAACACTTTGAACATTTACAATGTTTCACGACGAGTCAGCAATCTCACCAATCACTCACCAAAGGATAGCGCCACATTGGAAAAAAGTATGGCTGCCCCGGCGCATACCAGAAACGCCATTCCGTCGTTATATAATCCTGAAACAATAGGAGATTCCAGGTAAGAATAGCTTTCCTGTAACCTATGCTTGCAGCAGGATGCCGTAATGGAACGGGTGGTCAGGTTGACGGCGTGTCATACCGGTAGAATAGGTCTTCAGCAACCCATGCTTGCCGTAAAAGGCGACTATGCTTGTAAAAGGCGACTAACGGGATCGGGTGGTCAGGCTCGGTGACTTGGTTGATGCATGTGAGTGAGTGAGTGAGTATGGTTTTACGCCGCTTTTAGCAATATTCCAGCAATATCACGGCGGGGGACACCAGAAATGGGCTTCACACATTGTGCCCATGTCGGGAATCGAACCCGGGTCTTCGGCGTGACGAGCGAACGCTTTAACCACTAGGCTACCCGACCGCCCCTGTTGATGCATGTCATCGGTCCGAATGCTCATGTTGTCAATCACTGGATTGTCTGGTCCAGACTCGATTATTTACAGACCGCCGTCATATAGCTGGAATATTTTTGAGTGCGGCGTTAAACAACAAACCAAACCAAACCAAACCAAACCAAAACCGTAGACGAGGAACGTTGCCTATGACATCAATCATTGGTTTGTCGGGTGTCGGTTATCATGACAAACCGCCGTGATATAGCCATAAGATAACTGTTTGCGGCGTTAAACAAAAATAACAGCATAATATAACATGACTATCATTTTCTAACAATTGCTTTAATCGACAATGTTTATGTTAATAATGCACCAAACCCAGACCCTAAAACATGCTTAAAGCATTATATTATTACCCTGGTCAATGTATCAGTGTGCACTTGACTTTCAGTCTCAGCTCCCTGGGGAGTATACCCAGGTCAATGGATCAGTGTGCACTTTATTTCATTCTCAGCTCCCTGGGAAGTATACCCAGGTCAATGGATCAGTGTGCACTTGATTTTCATTCTCAGCTCCTTGGGGAGTATACCCAGGTCAATGGATCAGTGCGTGCTTGATTATTTACAGACCGCCGTCATATAGCTGGAATAATGCTGAGTGCGGCAACAAACAACAAACAGGACCGAAGACCTTAAAACTCACCGGAGTGCTGTCAAACACGGCCACCCATCCACCTACTCTCCGTGACCAACAGGTGCTTAACTTCACCTGATTTGTGGGGCGGTCGGGTAGCCCAGTTTTAAAAGCATTGGCTAGTCACGCCGAAGACCCGGGTTCGATTTCCGACATGGGTACAATGTGTGAAGCCCATTTCTGGTGTCCCCCGCCGTGATATTGCTGGAATATTGCTAAAAGCGGAGTAAAACCATACTCACTCACTCACCTGATTGGTAACACGTGCGCTATACACGGGCCGCCATGTCACCAATGTATTGAACTATGGTAAACGCAATATCTTACCGACCAACCAATAAAAGATGGCGACAGAGATCACTGGTAGGGCGCAGAGGATTGGTATCTGAAAACAAAATTAAACGGCTGTCACAATACTGGTCAAAGTTTCGTCGTTTTTTCCCACATCTCGCAAAACAAAACATCTTCATACATGTTATTCACACTAAGCAATATTCCAGCTATATGACGGCGGTTATTTACATCCGTTACCCCTTACATTACATTACAAGCAGACAGAAAACATTTATATATTCATGACATCACCGAATGTCTAACACCATTGGTAGATGGTGAGTGAGTGAGTGAGTGAGTTATGATTTAACGTCACATCGGCAGTATTTCAGCCATATCGTGACGAGAAGTACATTAATAATACATAAATGTATACAACATAAAAAGCTGTCAACGATGGACAGTAAAATTACTAGAATATCACAGATTAATATTTAAAACTAGCATACAACTATAAAAGATATCACTATATATAACGGTACAATATAAAAAAGGGCTATAGATCGCCAGCAGCTGAAGGTAGATCACCATGCTAGGGTCCATGGGGACTTACAGTACTTTTGCTACCTGCATGGACCCCAGCCGGATTTACATCCCTTCCGCTGTTGGCGATTAATGACAAATCTAGCCAGAATAAATGAACATATATACTACGTCTAAAAACGAGCAGAAATAAACGTAGATGGTGAGAGTTGACCCCGCTACGCCTTGTTCTTGAGAGGCAGTAGTGTCCTTATAGGGACTGGTCATTTATCTTGGGGTAGGGTGGGTAGTAAAAGGTAGGGTGGGGGTCGCCAAAATTTATCAGAACTATAGAGGGGGGTGGAAGGGGTGGCGGGTGGAAGATACATGTAGTATGTAGTTTTGGGACTGTACATTCTTTATTTTGTAATCATGGGGGTTGGGTTTGGTGGGGAGGGGTGGGGTGCTGTGTAATCATGAAGAAATGTTAAAGAAATTTTGGGCGAACAGCTAAATAAACCCCATTCAACCCCCCCCCCCCCCCCCCCCCCCCCCCCCCCAGCACATACACATCCGCACACGCACACGCGCCCGCACATACATACACACACACGCACATACATACATACACACGCACACACACGCGCACGCACACGCATACACACCTCTAACAATAATTTGTTATCATTCCTTGACCCTCAGCAATTATGCAACATGCTTCACAATTCCGTCAACTTCAACTTAAACCTACAGTTTAATAATAGCTGAATATCAATCATCAATTCTAATCGAGTAAGCATATGTCAGACAGTGATATGTCACTAATAATGTCAGCAAGGGGTTTGGCGAGGTAAAGGTAAGGCCTTATCTTGGCAATGGCCAGGTAGTGTGGATTTTGGACAGGTAACATTAAGGTCTAACCTCAGCAAAGGTTTTCGAAAGGTGGGAGTCAGGTCGCACCTGGACAAGGGTTTTTGAAAGGTAGTAAAGTAAGGTGTCAGAGAGGTCTCACCTCGGGAAAGGTTTTGGAAAGATGGGAGAAAGATGTTAAATCGGCACGTTTCAGAAGGGTGGGAGTAAGGTCTCGGTATGGTCTCACCTCGGGAAAGGTTTTGGAAAGATGGGAGAAAGATGTTAAATCGGCACATGTTTCAGAAGGGTGGGAGTAAGGTCTCGGTATGGTCTCACCTCGGCTAGGGTTTTGGACAGGAAGTACACATCAGTGCGGTACATCCCGCCCCCATACTCCCTCAGGAACACCGACGCCTCGGCCGTGAACGACTGAAACACGCCAGACTTCATTCAGACACCATTGTTACGTCATATCATTATCCGTTTACACTGCGTGGTCCAGTCGTTTAGAAGCCACAACTTACTAGACCCTAAACCGTGAGAGGATCCGATGAACAATCCCCGTGCTACTTTGCTTCACAACAGTGATAAACATATTCGTCGTACTTATTTTGTTAAACCACCCACGAAGATCCGGGGTAGAATAGGTCTTCAGCAACCTCATGATTGCCGCAAGGCGACTATGCTTGTCTTAGGAGGCGACTAACAGATCGGTGGTCATGCTCGCTGACTTGGTTGATGCATGTCATCGATCACAATTGCTTGGATCGATGCTCATGATGCAATTCACTGGATTGTCTGGTCCAGACTCAATTATTTACATCGGGGGAGCATGACAGCTGAAATATTGCCGAGTGCTGCTTTAAGAGATCAAACAAATAAATTTCAGAAAATTATTATCGTTTTATTTAACCACGTTGTAGCAATTAGTTAAAGAGTGAGTGAATTTGATATCACGGCGGGAGAACAGTAGAAATGGTCTACAAACTCGGGTCTTTTGCGTGACCAGCGAACACTGTAACAGCGAGGCTAATCATATGGTGAGGTGAAATTGGGTTTAACGTCGCGTCCAAGATAATTTTGTGTGTGTGTGTGTGTGTGTGTGTGTGTGTGTGTCTGTGTGTCTGTCTGTCTGTCTGTCTGTCTGTGTGTGTGTGTGTGTGTGACACACCAGCTTTAACCCCTTAATGCCGAGCGCCAGGCAGGGTAACAACAAGAACCATCTTTTAACGTCTTTTGGTATGACGTGGCCGGGGATGAAACCCCGGACCTTCCGCTCTCCGGGCGGACGCTCTACCACTAGACCACGGAGGCGGTCTAATCATATTGTAATAATGGTCGCACGTGGATACATGTCTGGACCTTTTCATAATTTAATTTAGGTTTAGTTCTTCTGTATATTTGGAAACACACACTATGACCTAAAACATTGATTGGTCTGACCATTGGTTCCATCTATCAAATTGTAAAATGGCTCCTGACGGCGACTCACAGCCATGACACCGAACATGCATGTGACGGAGTGTGTCATGATGAAGAGAAAGAGGACGCCGTTGATGTTCATCACACTCTTTTGGTCGTTTCCCTGACCGAGGTACACAAGCCCCAACAGCAATCCCACGACCTGCAACAGCAACACCGACATGAACTGCAGCATCAACACCGACATGAACTGTAACATCAACACCGACATGAACTGTAGCATCAACACCGACATGAACTTTAACAGCAACACCGACATGAACTGCAACATCAACACCGACATGAACTGCAGCATCAACACCGACATGAACTTTAACAGCAACACCGACATGAACTGCAACATCAACACCGACATGTACTGTAACATCAACACCGGCATGAACTGCAACATCAACACCGACATGAACTGTAACATCAACACCGACATGAACTGTAGCATCAACACCGACATGAACTTTAACAGCAACACCGACATGAACTGCAACATCAACACCGACATGAACTGTAACATCAACACCGGCATGAACTGCAACATCAACACCGACATGAACTGTAACATCAACACCGACATGAACTGTAACATCAACACCGACATGAACTGCAACATCAACACCGACATGAACTGTAACATCAACACCGGCATGAACTGCAGCATCAACACCGACATGAACTGTAACATCAACACCGGCATGAACTGCAGCATCAACACCGACATGAACTGTAACATCAACACCGGCATGAACTGCAGCATCAACACCGACATGAACTGTAACATCAACACCGGCATGAACTGCAACATCAACACCGACATGAACTGCAGCATCAACACCGACATGAACTGCAGCATCAACACCGACATGAACTGTAACAGCAACACCGGCATGAACTGTAACAGCAACACCGGCATGAACTGTAACATCAACACCGACATGAACTGCAACAGTATACCAACATGAACTATGACACGTGTACTCACCACAATCTGTATGACACCTGTACTCACCACAGTCTGTATGACACGTGTACTCACCACAGTCTGTATGACACGTGTACTCACCATAGTCTGTGTGACACATGTACTCACCACAGCCTGTATTACACACGTACTCACCACAGTCTGTATGGCACCTGTACTCACCACAGTCTGTATGACACCTGTACTCACCGCAGTCTGTATGACACCTGTACTCACCGCAGTCTGCATGACACCTGTACTCACCGCAGTCTGCATGACACGGGTACTCACCACAGTCTGTATGACACGTGTACTCACCACAGTCTGCATGACGCGTGTACTCACCACAATCTGTATGACACCTGTACTCACCACAGTCTGTATGACACCTGTACTCACCACAGTCTGTATGACACGTGTACTCACCATAGTCTGTGTGACACATGTACTCACCACAGCCTGTATTACACACGTACTCACCACAGTCTGTATGGCACCTGTACTCACCACAGTCTGTATGACACCTGTACTCACCGCAGTCTGCATGACACGTGTACTCACCACAGTCTGCATGACACCTGTACTCACCACAATCTGTATGACACCTGTACTCGCCACAGTCTGCATGACACGTGTACTCACCACAATCTGTATGACACCTGTACTCACCACAGTCTGCATGACACGTGTTCTCACCACAGTCTGTATGACACGTGTACTCACCACAGCCTGTAAGACACGTGTACTCACCACAGTTTGTATGACACCTGTACTCACCACAGTCTGCATGACACGTGTACTCACCACAATCTGTATGACACCTGTACTCACCACAGTCTGCGTGACACGTGTACTCACCACAGTCTGTATGACACGTGTACTCACCACAGTCTGCATGACACGTGTACTCACCACAATCTGTATGACACCTGTACTCATCAGTCTGTATGACACGTGTACTCACCACAGTCTGTACGACACGTGTACTCACCATAGCCTGTATGACACGGGTACTCACCACAGTCTGTATGACACGTGTACTCACCACAGTCTGTATGACACGGGTACGGAACAACGCCACATCTCTGTACACACAGGTCCAACTTCTCCATAGTAGAATGGTCAACTGTCTGATCCAAGAGGCCCTGTACCTGCAGTGAAAGAACCGGGTGTCGCAATAGTCTGGCAATAGTTGAATATACCATAAAGCCAGATACACCTTTAAGAAAGTGTCGCAATAGTTACATCACATAATTATTAAAGCGACAAAACCCTTTCGATATTCATAAGAAATCTCTGCTAACAGCAGAGTCGGTTGTACGATTCCACATGAGCATGTGTTTATGAATCACTATCAAATAGGGCGGTCGGGTAGCCTAGTGGTTAAAGCGTTCGCTCGTCACGCCGAAGACCTGGGTTCGATCCCCGACATGGGTACAATGTGTGAAGCCCATTACTGGTGTCCCCCGCCGTGATATTGCTGGAATATTGCTAAAAGCGGCGTAAAACCTCACTCACTCACTCACTATCAAAAAGTGACGATACTAGGTGTTCGCGAATAGGCGAGCGGATCCTGCCCCACCCGTGGCACCCGTCACAAACACATGCAAAGGAAAGTAAATTGTTCATATGAAAAAACACGGGAATATATGGTACAAGTCAAAATAGGGAATTGCATCGGACATAATTATGGTCACACAATTTGGAAATATCCTCCACATGTCTTCCATAAAACATTTTACAAGCGTTACTGGGGCCTTGAATGTTGTAACCTTGATCAAACAACTTCTGAGCAAGTGTCGCGTGACGGTCTTTGAAATCTTGATAGAAAGAGCATGCTCGATTGTACATTGTGAAATGTAGACACCAAAGGATGGAGCTGCTGGAATATTGCTCGACACAAAAGGAAAGTTGACTAGTGGAAAGTTGAAGTCAACCCTCTCTTGTCATACAGACTTGTGGAGAGTGTTTGTTACTCTTAACATACGTCACATTAAAGGTATCATTGTTCACAGGAGCTCAGATGACGGATAACGATTATAAGATACAGATGTACAAACCTGTCCCGTTTGTTTCCATCTTCAACCTGCAAACAAAGCAATGAGTGAGTGAGTGAGAAGGTATTTAGGCGGCCTTTTAACAAATATTCCAGCAATACTTCACTGAGGGTTATCTTCGATTGGCTTAATTACATCTTTCCTCCGACCTTCCCTTCCCTTCAATCGCATTCTTCCTCCGGACCTAGGCTTTGATCTCAAATCACGCCTGGTCAACCCTTATCGGGGTCTAATCTTTCCTCCGATCTTCCCTTCCCTATATGATCTTCCCTTTGATCTTACCTTCCCTATGATCTTACCTTCCCCCAGATCTTACATTGCCTCCGTTCTTCCCTTCCCTCCGCTCTTACCTTCCCTATGATCTTACCTTCCCTCCTATCTTCCCTTCCCTCCGATCTCCCTCCCCCTCTGATCTCACTTCCCCTCAGGTCTTACTTCCCCTCTGATCTCACTTCCCCTCAGGTCTCACTTCCCCTCTGATCTCACTTCCCCTCTGATCTCACTTCCCCTCAGATCTCACTTCCCCTCAGGTCTCACTTCCCCTCTGATCTCACTTCCCCTCAGGTCTTACTTCCCCTCCGATCTCACTTCCCCTCTGATCTCACTTCTCCTCCGATCTCACTTCCCCTCTGATCTCACTTCCCCTCAGATCTCACTTCCCCTCTGATCTCACTTCCCCTCAGATCTTACATGTACCTTCCCTCTGATCTCACTTCCCCTCTGATCTCACTTCCTCTCTGATCTCACTGCCCCTCAGGTCTTACTTCCCCTCCGATCTCACTTCCCCTCAGGTCCCATTTCCCCTCTGATCTCACTTCCCCTCTGATCTCACTTCCCCTCTAATCTCACTTCCCCTCTGATCTCACTTCCCCTCAGGTCTTACTTCCCCTCCGATCTCACTTCCCCTCAGGTCTCACTTCCCCTCTGATCTCACTTCCCCTCCGATCTCACTTCCCCTCTGATCTCACTTCCCCTCAGATCTTACATGTACCTTCCCTCTGATCTCACTTCCGCTCAGGTCTCACTTCCCCTCTGATCTCACTTCCCCTCTAATCTCACTTCCCCTCAGATCTCACTTCCCCTCAGGTCTCACTTCCCCTCTGATCTCACTTCCCCTCAGATCTTACATGTACCTTCCCTCTGATCTCACTTCCCCTCTGATCTCACTTCCCCTCTGATCTTACTGCCCCTCAGGTCTTACTTCCCCTCCGATCTCACTTCCCCTCAGGTCCCATTTCCCCTCTGATCTCACTTCCCCTCTGATCTCACTTCCCCTCTAATCTCACTTTCCCTCCGATCTCACTTCCCCTCAGGTCTTACTTTCCCACACAGATGTTACCTCCACCCAGCAGGACACAAGTAGGCTTTGTGACAGGGCCCGAGGAAGACCATGCCTTGGTTGACCTGGTACAATCTCCCCTCTTGCCTCTCGCCATGACCTCACCTAGAGCCGCTTTATACAGGTCTCCCCGAGATTCAACACATGTACATAGGATAAAATGAATGCTTATACTAAGTTATCTACTCACGATTATTGATAGCACCTTGTTCTGAAGTGCATCTTTACATATGTCGGTAATGGTGTCCGTAAGCTGGTGATATGTGTCGCTTTGATAGAATGCATTGCACAGCTTCTGGAAATACGCGAAGAGTGAGCGATGACCATGAACTGTTGCACTAATAAACATAAATAACAACTAAAAACATCTTAAACATCTTAATGTGGGAGGACAGCCCATCGTCGCGCATGTCGTACATCTTAACCACTTTTGTGAAACCAATATTCACAATCAGGATTCGAACTGTTAATGCCCAAACCCAGCATAGCTATGGGACGCCTTTGACAACTGGGCCGGCGAGATTAAAAATAGAGTTTCAATTATTTTTTTTTGAACGGGCGCTAATATACCCTGTGGTCCACGTCGGTCTCAAATGGCACTCCACAGCACACCCAAGAACCTATCGTGGCACGTGTGACCTCGTCGTTAAGCCGTCGCAGTTTGCTTTGCAGAGTTGCGTCCCTTATGAGTGCAAGGATACTACGATCGCGGGTTACAATCTCGGTTTATGATTCTTGATTTGTCTGTACTCTGGTTTCCTTTATCACTTCGGGCTTTCTCCCATATCAAGGAAAATACTGACTGACTTAACTCAAACATGTATACGTCCATTTGGGCAGTGGGTGTGAGATGGTGTTTGTGTCAGTTTGATTTCTCACATGACGGAACAACTGTAGTTTCATTAACTGAACGTTATAGGATGAAGCGTTCGTAAAATCAGCTGCTATAACAAGAGCCAATTTGCAGACATTTCAAAATTGTGAGTAACCACCAAGAATCGAGTATTCTTTCAAGTCATGATAGAATCAAGGTTATATTCAGTGTTCGAAATACCTGCCTGCCCGACCGTCCGAGACGGGTTGATTTCAACTCGGGCTGCCAGATTTTCAAATCCCCCTGCCCGACGGTCGGGTTATATTTCATATGTGAAAATATTTTAAATATTTCCCGATGATAAGTATTAATTAACATGTAAAGATGAATGATAAAATGTAACCAAAAGAAACGTTAGCTTATCCTGAGAAACATATGATTATAGTGGGCAGGCAGGTTTTGGTCAGGGCTGGCAAGTATTTCAGCTAGCCAGTCCTGTGGTCTGGCTAAAATTTTGGGGAATTTCATACCCTGTTATATTCGATCTCATATATATATATAAACCTACTGGCTGTTTGTGTAACTCGATATGGAGTTTTTGAAATTGTGGTAACACCTCGCAGGAGGGCTTACAATCATTGTAAACCCTTGATAGAACAAAAAAACTACGAACAGCCTACGAGACGCACGTGCAGATTTCGTGCCACTGGGAGACGCACGTGCAGATTTCGCACCGTTGCGAAACCCACGTGCTGAGGTCACCGGTTTCATTGAACCGAGTTCACGACTGCAGGCGATATTTCATCTCCGATACAGGTTATACATTTGAGTTTTTATTACAGTTATTTAATTAAAAACGTTGTCTATGCGATGAGTCGGTTTATAAGTTGGACAAACCATGTCTCCTCGAGATTACTAGAGATTGTAAACCCTCACATTCGGGAACGTCCCTCATGTGAGATTTTACAATCTCTAGTAATCCCTCGGAGACATGGTTTCTCCTACACATAGAATATATGCAGTGCGTTGTCTCTTTTCAAGCGTCCAGAGTGAGCTAGAGTTACCTCCACTTTGTCCCGGCGTTGCCCCTCACCCTCAGCCCGCACCGCCAGCGCGTGGACGTAGAAATCTGCTGGGTTGAAGTTCCGGGGACAGGAATAACCCTGGCTGAACAGTGAAAAGTAAATATGTTTATAATATTTCTAACATAGAATATCACCTTAAAGGGTTTGGATTTTAATGGCTGTTAAGAATAGTTCATGAAGTGGAGCAACATTTCAGAACAATAATAAATTCCTACCACATATATCTATTTTGAAACGCTATCGAGAGTCAATGCCAATTATTCAAGTGATATAGAACGTTATCTTATTCTAATTTTGTTTTGTTTTTCTTAGTAAATTGCAATGGTATTTATTGCGGATATCTGGCGAAAATGCCCGAATAGGGTTGGTGTTAGTCTGCAGCACCATAGCGAATTAGCAGCACTATTCCAATTTTGGAATAGTATGGTTTTACCTTTCAAAGAAGCTTAATGCATCGGAAGAAGAACCCATGAATGCCACCCGTCCTTCAGACAAAAGTAATAACCTTCAAAGGAAAAATAGTTCATTGATGCACATCTTTCAATAACCTAGTTACTGCTTTTGTAGTTAATGCTCACGTCAACTACATTTACCTTGCAAGGTTAGAGGACAACACTTCTCAAGAACTGCATAAATGTACTGTGGCATGTAAACAATGGGGTTCACGCCAGTGGTGGGTAAAGGTCTTGATATTACGATATTATTGGGGGTACTCACTAGGTAAGACCCGTTGTTTTTTAACAATATAGATCTTGATCATTGATCAGATCGTCTTGACTGGGCCCCCATTTTGTTTGAAGCAAATGCAAGTGATGTGAGAGGTGGAATCTGAAGGGACATAGAAGGGACATAATTAGGAGATAAACCTACTGTGTTTTGAAATTTGATGTAGTCCCACTGTAGAATAGATACCTCTTTATTATAATTTTGAACCGAGCGCATGGTAGAATTCGTAATATCCACTGGTTGCGCTACGATGGAGCCCAGAAATTCCAGCCTTGTTCGCCAAGGGTGAAAACTGTACTTTTACAGTTAGTTAACTCCCTTGCCTCGGGAAGATGCATTTAGCCGCCTCTACCGACGTTCATGGTATGATGGGGATCAATTATAATCCGGTATCCGGTGACTGAATTGTTTTGGGTTTTTGGGTTTTTTTGTGTTGTTGAACGCCCCACTCAGTAATATTCAAGCAATATGACGGCGGTCTGTAAATAATCAAGTCTGGACAAGACAATCCAGTGATTGACAACATGAGCATCGATCCGCGCAATTGGGATACGATGACATGTATCAACCAAGTCAGCGAGCCTGACCACCCGATCCCGTTAGTCGCTTCTTTCGACAAGCATAGTCGCCTTTTACGGCAAGCATGGGTTGCTGAAGACCCCGGATCTTCACGGGTCGGATGTTAAAGATGAATCTCAGTAAGTAAGCAATATTGCAGTTACATGACCCCAGCGTGTAAATAATCGGCTCTGGACCAGATAAACCAGTGTTTGATATTGTGGGCAACGTAAGATGGGGAACGATATGACGCGCAATCAATCAAGTCACCAAGTCAGACGACTTGAATGATTTAGCCGCCCCTTGTTTCCTGGGGACCTATTCTAACTAACAAAACACCGGTTTAACTAAAACAACCAACGGATGCGGGACGTGTGGTATTTTAAGAATTATATGCAACGCTCAGCTACACTAGAGCAACACTACACTTCATTTCAATCAAAGCTAAACTACACTAAACAACTGAACGGTTACCCTAGAAAATGCTGTATTGAACAAAGCTAGTAAGCATAATACTGTACATCTTCCCGAGACAAGAGTGAGTGAGTTTGGTTTTACGCCGCTTTTAGCAATATTCCAGCAATATCACGACGGGGGACACCAGAAATGGGCTTCACACATTGAAACATGTCGGGATTCGAACCCGGGTCTTCGGCGTGACGAGCGAACGCTTTAACCACTAGGCTGTTCAGTTGCATCTTGAATAAACCATTTATCACCCACATTGACTGTTACTTGTCATGTATCGCACGTGCATTGTGTGGTTGCGTTCAGGCGTGCGTTTTAAGTAGCTTTTTCCATCACCTTCAATCTTGCACTTTTCATTGTTATTAATAGTCGTCCATTTTTCCAGTTTCATAGGATATTGCTGGAATATTGAAAAGCAAAGCGGCCTAAAACCATATTCACTCACTCGACAAACAGCGTGACATAAGCATAAACAACGTGTTCTTTAGCAGGGAATCACATTGTCAACATACACAGAACTGTTGACGCTTGTTGGCATATGTTCATGTCAATCTCATTAAAATCAGACCTTAGTTCTCGCTACCGCTAAACAAAGATCTAAGGACATCCCATTAGGGGTCAGAACGACCTTTCATCCGCCTAATCAGAGCGTCGCTTACCAGATCATGAAAGTAACAGTCTGAATGTGATCATGTAACCACGAGAACCTCAACACGGGGTATTCCGAACGATAGGTTCGAGTTTAACGACTGAATCCATACAATCTAGACCATCTATTGGCCATTCCAGAATGTTATTTGGTTCAGGTTTCAAATTTTTAATCGAGAATTTGTCAAAATATGTTTCGAAGCCTTGTCGCCAATTTGAAATGAGTGCCGTAAAGCACGAGATAGCTGCATTCTGATTGGTCATTCCATTGGTCGGTCAAAGTTCGCGCAAGGTCGGTCTGACGTGACCCGTATTGGGATGTCCTCAGATCTTTGTTTAGCGGTAGCGAGAACTAAGATCTGATTTTAATGAGATTGATGTTCATGTTTGACCCATCAATATTGATGCTGAGATATATTTATGATACATTATAATCAACTGTATGTGTTCATGATATCTCACATCTTCCCGAGGCAAGAGCGTCCACTAGCCTTTTTATCCAAGTCTTGTTTCCACCCTTATCACATTAAACCCCTTTTTCTGTGCTAAATATGATTGGACTATCGCACATATCAATAGTCCAATCAGAGAACGTTTCACAAAACCAATGTTCACGACTGGTACAGCTTCATATGAAAGTGATTTACCGCTGCCTGTCTTTGTTGACACGAATATGTCTTTTTCATCTTTTAACCCACCAACGATTGCTATGTTATTTTGTCAGGGATGAAATCGCGAATGTTTTCGTTATCTGATCGACTAGGTCGTCGCCTATGGTCGTCGCCATCTTTGTAAAGCTCTACGAGATAAATCAGCGATGTGATTGGATATTGCGTTTTCATTACAAGGGGCACAACTCGTGATCTACGCGAGGTGGCGCTAGGGTCGACCCAAGAAAAGTGGCCTTGGTTAGGTATAAACTAGGCTTTGATGCAGGTTAGTGGACACGCTTGCCTCGGGAAGATGCTAGGCTTTGATATAGGCTAGTGGACACGCTTGCCACGGGAAGATGCTAGGCTTTGATATTGTCTAGTGGACACGCTTGCCTCGGGAAGATGCTAGGCTTTGATATAGGCTAGTGGACACGCTTGCCACGGGAAGATGCTAGGCTTTGATATTGGCTAGCGGACACGCTTGCCACGGGAAGATGCTAGGCTTTGATATTGGCTACCGGACACGCTTGCCTCGGGAAGATGCTAGGCTTTGATATTGGCTAGTGGACACGCTTGCCTCGGGAAGATGCTAGGCTTTGATATAGGCTAGTGGACACGCTTGCCTCGGGAAGATGCTAGGCTTTGATATAGGCTAGTGGACACGCTTGCCTCGGGAAGATCCAAGGCTTTGATATAGGCTAGTGGACACTTGCCTCGGGAAGATGCTAGGCTTTGATATAGGCTAGTGGACACGCTTGCCTCGGGAAGATGCTAGGCTTTGATATTGTCTAGTGGACACGCTTGCCTCGGGAAGATCCAAGGCTTTGATATAGGCTAGTGGACACTTGCCTCGGGAAGATGCTAGGCTTTGATATAGGCTAGTGGACACGCTTGCCTCGGGAAGATGGATATCTCACGGCAACTCACTGATCAAACATGGCGAAGACCTCTGAGGACGGCTGATGGATGGTACACAGGATGGTCCTCCCCTTGGACGCCATGTTCTGGAGGGTCTGGACAATGCTCTGGGCCATGAAGGAGTCCAGGCTGGACGTCGGTTCATCACAGAACATCAGGGGAGGGTTGGTCAGAACCTGTGGACACAAGCCTTGGTCAGTCTCTTGCAGTTAGAGTTTCTTCGAGCTGCGCCACACTGTGTTGCAAAACGAGTGTGTTTCTTAACGTTTTTCTTTGCTTATAAGCACCAAAATCTCGTAATTCAAAATAAACTTACCGTTTAAATCAGTTATGGTGCACTCGTGTCACGTGATTTTCTGGTTATCAATCACGTGATTGTCTGGTTTGCTTACAGCCTGACGTCGCATGACAGGAGTACTGCTGTGCTGCATCAGGCAATAAATACTTACTTTTGTATGCAAATTGCATGAATGGTGGGTGCTACCGGTAGGGCAGGACATGCTAACCCTGGTGTCACCACTGATTTCCGGTGGTTCATTCTTATATTTTAAGTGGAATCTGTTTCCGCGGAAAATCTAGGCTTGATATTTTCTTGCATTGACAATGCATTCTGTTGGCTCAATATGCGTTAAGTACATATCTGTGGAATTCAGGACTTCTAGGTAAGATGGACTGTTTAACACAGTTGTCCATGTAAAACAATGTAGTCACAAGCGTGAGCTTAACTGTGTCATAAGATATCTGAACCTGATGTCATGTCTTCTGAGACCCGTGTATCCGGGGTAGAATAGGTCTTCAGCAACCCATGCTTGCCGTAAAAGGCGACAATGCTTGTCGTAGGAAGCGACTAACGGGGTCGGGTGGTCAGGCTCACTTGGTTGATGCATGTCATCGTATCCCAATTGCGTGGATCATGATGTCAATCTCTGGATTGTCTGGTCCAGACTCGATTATTTATATACAGATCGCCGTCATATAGCTGGAATATTGGTGAGGGCAGCGTTAAACAACAAACAAATAAACAAACAAACAAACGTTATGTCTTCTGAACTTACTGTCATAAGTCTTCAGACCCTGATGTATCATAAGACCTCTGAGCCTACCATGTCATAAACTATCAGAATCTACATTCAGACTACAGATCTAATCACTGATTACAGGACAACTCCCACCTCTGAAGCGAAGGACAGTCGCTTCATCTCACCACCAGAGATGCCCTTGGTCCGGCCCGGCGTCCCGACCTGCGTCTCCGCGCACTTGCTCAGGCCCATCTGTAAGAGTGAGTGAGTATGGTTTTACGCCGCTTTTAGCAGTATTCCTGCAATATCAAAGCGGGGGACACCAGAATTGGGCTTCACCCAATGTACCCATGTGGGGAATCGAACCCGGGTTTTCGGCGTGAAAAAGCCAACGCTTTAACTACTAAGCTATTCCACCACCACCTGTAAGAGAAACATGCGACGTGTGTGGTGTACATAAAGAAGAGGGATATAAAGAACAGTTACAAGCTAGATGACAGAGCCTCGACCTTGACTTTATCTGCCATTGACCGCCTCCGTGGCCTAGTGGTAGAGCGTCAGCCCGGAGAGCGGAAGGTCCGGGTTTGATCCCGGCCGCGTCACACCAAAAGACGTCAAAAAGATGGTACTTGTTGTTACCCTGCCTGGCGCTCGGCATTAAGGGGCTAAAACAAGGACTGGTCGGCTCGGAGTCAGTATACTGTGTCCGAGTGGGATATTCATTTTAAACTGCGGCATGCTATCTCAGTGTGCTAGCACTATAAATCGGCATCAGTCCGGACTAGTACAAGCAGCCACAAAGTCAGTGGGGATGATTCTACGAAGCTTTTGGCTATATTCCAAATGATATCACGACAGGGGACACCAGAAATGGGCTTCGCACATTGTACCTATGTCGGGAATCGAACCCGGGTCTTCGACGTGACGAGCGAACGCTTTAACCACCAGGCTACCCAACCGCCCCGATCTTAGCACTAAGATGACCGTAACTCCCATACTTTAAAATAGGCTTACGATAGCCGTTGCGCTAAGGCCGCTTTGTGGAACAGGGTCCTGGTCGGTTGCTGATAACCAAAGGATCATTATCATCGCAAGAATGATATTCGAATCCATGGTCATAGGATCCCGACCCATCTAAGGGACAAAACTCTACATCGTGTAAACTGCGCTGTCGTTAATAGGCGACTAGAACAAGGGACAAGTGCAGAACCTGGGCGGTTGAACGTTGTATGCACGTTGAACTCTGTATTGGGTTAAACAGGGATCAAGGTCAACATTAGTGATGGGTATTGGAGGTTTAAAGTGCATCACAATATTTTGCAATGCACGAGGTCGTTTTGCGATACGTATAACGATATATTGTATAATTATAAATTTTGAATTCCGCAGCAATCTGATACATTAAGGTATAAATTGAAGTTCATAAATGGAACAGAACAAGAGGCTGGTACAACATACAATAATGTTTACTCTTTCAATAAATCCGCAGCCATCTTGGAGACCAGGATGTTCGCGAAGGCATTTAGGAAGTAAATAACATTAAACACATGATAAAAATCAAAATTTGAAATCACCCAATATATCGAACATGATAAATGATATTGTGATACGTATCGTGGAAAGAATGAACCTCAATTAAGCGATATACCTATAATACCTCACACCCTTAGTCAACATACCTCTAAGATGACTTCCTCGACCCTCAGAAGACGAGCAGACTTTGACAGCGTTTGGTCCATCCGCAGCATGGCCTACGTGGAATCATACAGTTAGGCATGGTCTCGTGACGCCTACATGCACTATATACAACTGATCATGTTGGTTGGTTGGTTTGTTGTCGCATTATATAAGTGCAATAGTCTGGAACCAGACGTTAACCCCCATTTCACCTCACCTTGAAAAAGAGGCCAGAGTGTCCTTGTGTAGAGCGATCTTAGCGCTGAGGTGATCGTTACTCCCACACAATGTTTTGTACAATGGTTTGTTTGTTTGTTGTTTAACGCCGCACTCAGCAATATTCCAGCTATATGACGGCGGTCTGTAAACAATCGAGTCTGGACCAGACAATCCTGTGATTAATATCATGAACATCGATCGACGCAATTGGGATACGATGACATGCTTCAACCAAGTCAGTGAGTCTGATCACCCGATCCCGTTAGTCGCCTCTTACGACAAGCATAGTCGCCTTTTACGGCAAGCATGGGTTGCTGAAGACCTATTCCGCCCCGGATCTTCACGGGTCTGTTTTTTATTATGTATTTACGGATAACATACTGTATGTGTCTGAATTCAAAATGGACATTTGGCTGGAGTTGCAAAATGGTTTATGCAACTTTCAGTAAGAATATATGATAAATAGAACATTCGTCTTTTCTTGACAAACTCCATGTTCACGTGACTTGAGAGAGTTTACGATCTCAATCATGCAACCATTAATGCCAACTCAGTTATGAGGTCAACAGGTTACTTCACAAGAAAAGCGAAATGTCCTCTATTTATATGACTTATACTGAGAAATTGGACCTTCTTCAAATTAACCGGATTACAGACCGTCCAAAAGTTATCTTAAATCTTAAACGTGAATGAAATTGGCCGAACCTTTATCCGTAACATGTGTGCGGTTTGTCCAGCCGCGCGAGTCATTATATCCACTTAAAGTCAATGTGTATATATATTACTGAAACTTGAGTTGATTCGAGAAACAAATCATTAATGTGACGTGGCCTACTGACTCCTACTTCAAGCCTAGCCTGAATATGAGATGCTCTCTGACTGTATCTTGACCAGACAAACCAGTGATTGATATTGTGAGCAACTGACTTCTACTTCTAGCCTACCCTGAATATGAGATGCTCTCTGACCGTATCTTGACCAGACAAACCAGTGATTGATATTGTGAGCAACTGACTTCTACTTCAAGCCTACCCTGAATATGAGATGTTCTCTGACTGTGTCTTGACAAGACAAACCAGTGATTGATATTGTGAGCAACTGACTTCTACTTAAAGTCTACCCTGAATATGAGATGTTCTCTGATCGGTCTTGACCAGACAAACCAGTGATTGATATTGTGAGCAACTGACTTCTGCTTCAAGCCTACCCTCAATATGAGATGTTCTCTTACTGTGTCTTGACCAGACAAACCAGCGATTGATATTGTGAGCAATTGACTTCTACTTTAAGCCAACCCTGAACATGAGATGTTCTCTGACTGTGTCTTGACCAGACAAACCAGTGATTGATATTGTGAGCAACTGACATCTTCTTCGGTGATTGATATTGTGAGCAAGCCTACCCTAAATATGAGATGTTCTCTGACTGTTAGAGTGCCAATGAAAAGTTCATCCTGCTGGACGTAGGCGGAGATGTCGTTGATGCCCCGCCCAACGTCCACGCCATTGACCTTCACGGCGCCCTCTGTGACGTACTGCGCGGTGTTACGACACGTCAGGACATTCATCAGGGTCGACTTGCCAGCACCGCTGTGGAATGAACAAAGATACGTCCAATCATATCAACCTGACTGGTTCATACCCTATTCCGACACTGATAATAATGGAATACTGGAAGGGACATTGTCGGGTTGTCGCATTGTCGCTCTTCCACAAACAAACAAACAGTGTCAAAATTAACCAAAGCGCGACAATGCGATAACGCGACATATGTTGACCTTGAAAAATGTTGACACTTTTTGCTTGTTTTTGGAAGAGCGACAAGGCGACAATGGCCCTCCTAGGATTCCATAGATAATGGTTCTAAGGTAAACTTGTCAGCACCTACATTACATGCGATGTGAATGGGGTTTAACGTCGCGTGCCAAGATTATTGCACTTATATAGCCACGTGCATGCACGAGTGTGTGTGTGTGTGTGGCTGATGTACTTGTCCGGACGGATGCCGATTTATAGTGCTAGCTCACTGAGATACCAGGCGGCAGTGTATCATGAATACCCCACTCAGACACAGTATACCGACCCCGAGCCGACCAGTCCTTGTTTTACTCACTTAATGACGAGCGCCAGACAGGGTAACAAGAAGTTACTTTTGGTAGGACGCGGCTTGGTATCGAACCCCGGACCTTCCGCTCTCCGGGCGGACGCTCTACCACTAGACTACCGAGGCACTCACCTACATAGCAACTATTGTGGATTTGTTTCCTTATCAAGTACCACTTGAGCGGTGGTACTGGCGTCCCATTCATCAATAGAGCCGCAATTCGCTGTGTCCTTACCTGCATCACTTCGGGCTTTCTTCCTCAATTAACTGTTTCATTGGCATTCTAGAAGTTAATGGGTAAGGAAGAAAGCGTCTAACTTTATGGATAGCATCTTTGGTTTATTGCATACCGTTTCTATGTAGATTCTTACACCATTATCAGTTTGTTTGTTTGTTGTTTAACGCCGCACTCAGCAATATTCCAGCTATATGACAGCGTTCTGTAAATAATTGTTCTGTAGACAATCCAGGGGCTGACAACATGAACATCAATCCACGTCATTGATACGATGACATGCATCAACTAAGTCAGCGAGCCTGACCGACCGATCCCATTAGTCGCCTCTTACGACAAGCGTAGTTGCTCCACCGTCATCAAGCCTGATAACTATGTAAGAATATACATCCAAATGTAACTATATACAATAAACTAGAACTTGTTATCCATAAAGTTGTACGTTATGTTACTCATCAGTTAAGTTGACACACCGTAAAATAAGTGAAAACTGTTCAAAGCGACAATGGACCAAACTCAATCACTCTCACCTTGAGCCGATGATCGCCAGCAGTGTTCCTGGTCTCGCGACTCCGGTCACTGAAACAAGCAAAAGGGCTTATTTCCACAAGTAATAATATCCGTAAATCTCTTTAAAATAAGATCTTTTACTCTGATTCAATACCTCTCCGCGTGAAGATCTGAGGACAAGTCCATAGGAGGTCGCTAGCCAAAGAAAACCGCCAAAAAACATAAATATACCCGCGATAGTACATCCTTTTGGGTTTAGATGGCATGGCGCTCAGAAACGACAGGATGTATAAATATCCACAACAATATAACAGCGCGGCTTTATTTATTTGCATTTCGAACTCACTGATTATATTCGTTTTCAAGAATCAGAAATCACATATGCGTGTAATGTTCTTATTCTCCTCTCACTTGTTTAGACGCATTTAAAAGCCACTGGCAGATTAGAAAGTTCATCTGTAGCGAACCACTTTAGAGGTCATCGGTTACCATGATGTCACAATTAAGTGACAATCACTCATCTCTCTGCCACTGAAGCTGGTTAGCTGTACTTTGTACACTCAAGACAATCGTCATTACCTTTTACAACTGGAAAACTTGGAAGAATGATTTTGGCTGATAATTTGAATCTCACCGTCGTATCTCCTATATAAATAGTTTAAAGGACATTCAAGTCTTTCAAAAGATTGTGTTGTTTGTTTGTTACTGAACGCCGCACTTAGCAATATTCCAGCTATATGACGGCGGCCTGTAAATAATCGAGTCTAGACCAGACAATCCAGTGATTGATATCATAAGCACCCATCCACGCAATAAGGATACGATGACACCAATGACCACCCGATCCCGTTAGTCGCTTCTTACGTTAAGCTTGGGTTGCTTAAGACCAATTCTAACTTGGATCTTCACGGGTCTCTTTCTAAAGACATGCCAATATATCACATCAGCTGATTCGTATTTACCATTCCTTAAAATCTGTTTATGGTTTCCAGTTTCTTGTACTTGACGAAAGAACTTCCTCTTGTCCGTCTTGACGCTGACGCTGATGTTCTCCCATGTTAATGAGATGCGCTCCACCCCAGGGCTGCTGTGACGAACTGCTTGGCCCGCTCCTGTGCCGTACGACCCACAGAAGCCGTTCCCTCTCCTGGAGCCAGGTATGCTGCTCACCCCTGAAGGCATATCCACGACCAGGTGGCTGCAGCTGCTTATATTCGCCTTGTTATTTAACAAGCAGATCGTTTCTCTGTCGTGCATGATCGAACGTTTAAGTTGCTCAAAGTGAGAACTCTGTAATCAAACAAACAAATAGATAGGTAGATAGATAGACACACGATTTAAAGTTTCTAAGGTAGTTGGGGATAGACGATATTTATAACTTCTTAAACAATTAACTATTGAGGATAACATTTTACTTGCAATATCATCAATGTGCATTTTCCATGTAAAATTACTTTGTAATGTAATCCTTGGTGCTTATGACTTTGTACATCTTTCTTTTATGTGCCATTCATTAAAAAGTTACGTGTGTGACTAGGGTTTACCTTACGGGTAAATTGAATACAGATTCAGTTTTATCGGGACTAAATTTAACTTGCCATCTAACAGCCCATTTTGAAATTCTGTCCAAGTCATTATGGAGATTACTAGCAGCTGTATCCGGATCTTCATGATCACATACAAAGATGCGTCATCAGGAAAAAATCTTATATTACCATTTATTCCTTCAACAATGTCATTGATATAAACAATAATGGCCCCAAGACCGAGCTCTGTGGCACACCTATCAAGACTGCTTTTTGGATCTGAGCTATAGCCATTTATAACCACCTTTTGGTATCGATTTTCTAAGTAACTGTCAAACATCTCATTAACTTTCCACAGCTACCATAATGTTGCAGTTAATATATTATTCCTTCACTCTGCACGATAAACACTACCGATTAAATTTACCAAATACTAGCAGATTCAGATGTGCAAATTACAATGTCGAAGTACAGCTTCAGTGACATATAGTTTGTCTTTAATACGACGAACGTTTAGATGCCCCAACCTGCCAACGTTATTTCGACCTTCCCTTTCCCATAATGAATCGGGGCGGTCAGGTAGCCTAGTGGTTTAAGCGTTCGCTCGTCACGTCAAAGACCTGGGTTCGATTCCAGACATGCGTACAATGTGTGAAGCCCATTTCTGGTGTCCCCCGCCGTGATATTGCTGGAATATTGCTAAAAGTGGCGTAAAGCCATACTCACTCACTCGCCATAAGGAATCCTCACGAAGTAGCACTGACTAAGAATTGTTTTATATCATAATAGCATCCAATGGTCTTGCAGCAAAAAACATAGTGTGTACATTACCTGCGTTTGCGATGAGATCTACCGGCATTTACCGTCTCCCATTTCTAAATATATTTACACAAATGTAGAAATGTTTATTACATTGGTATATAAACCAATAATGCAGGTGTTGCGTAGAGCAAACGCTGAACAGTGCGTTCTACTGTGAACAAAACACAGCTGTGAGGAGATAGAATGCCTGCATGGCACTAATTAGATCAACACAATAACCAAGAGGAAATATCAACACTGTCGGTATTGTATACGGACTGTTATCGATTAGGATTTATTGGTTAAATAACTCAGCCAGAACCGAGGTGTGGTGTTACTTGATTGCATGTATGATTGGACCTTCATTTAGAATAAAATTATACTTTATGCTTTGTTTTTTATGATCATAGTAAACAGATGAGTTTCTTTTAACGCCGCTTGGACCTGTAGTCCTGGTATATCCCACAATATCACCTTAGTGTGGGACGAAATCCCAGTGTGATGCAGTTCTTGGGTCTTTACCACTTCGGTGTCTATTCAGTGAGTGAGTGAGTGAATATGGTTTTACGCCGCTTTTCGCAATATTCCGGCAATATTACGGCGGGGGTCACCAGAAATGGGCTTCACACATTGTACCCATGTCGGGAATCGAACCCGGGTCTTCAGCGTGACGAGTGAACGCTTTAACCACTAGGCTACCCAACCGCCCGTGTCTATTCAGACTTAGTATTTACCCGCATCCTTCATAAAGCTGGAACACTGTTGCCCGCGACAGTAAAAAACAAACATACAACAAGTAATAATAATCATAGCATCCTGGCACACTTAAGGGAAGCAACTCTATACAGAGAACTGAGACACCAGAAGGCCACATGTGTCCCTCAAACCTCTGATGTCAACAACCTTTGTTTGATACGGGCTTCCATAGCCTGGCCTGACCAAGTAACCCCATAGTAACTCCACGAAGTAACTTCAAGTAACTCCAACACTGACTGAGCGACTTCGGAGATTTAACGAGAGCTTCAAACTTTTGTTGAAGCAACATTCAAGCAGTCATGTCCCTTACATACGAGCCTAGCTTCGTGAGACAACGGCCTCTCACTTCTTTACTTCTTATTAATATATTTCCATATATATCCACCCGGTTTGCAGCCAGTTGATGGGAATTCACATCTTTAAGTACAGGGCTCACGTGCACAAAGCGATCTTAGCGCTAAGATGATCGTAATTCCCATACTTTAACATAGACTTACGATAATCTTAGCACTAAGATGGCTTTGTGCAAGTGGGCCCAGCCCTAATAAGGGTTTTGTCACCCTTTAGGACCAATATTTCCTCAAGAAATAAGTCCTTAGCTTGAAATACGCCTAAGATTCCATTTCAATCAATTTTAATGTACCATTATGTTTTTTTGCAAATTCAAAAGTACAAAAATCTCCTTGAACAGACCCTGAAAAGAATTATATCCAAAATATCCAAAGTAAGTCTATAATAGTTTGCAAGTCTCTGGGCTTCTTTTTATCATATTTTATTAAGATAATTTAACTACTGTTTTCATTTCCCCGATTAGATGCAAGTCAAAATAAAACACTAACGCGCCACTAACAGGTAAACATCACGGCCACCTCTTTCCAAGGTCAACCATGTTGCAACTGTGTGTCGTTATGCTGGCAGAGGTCTGATTGTCTTCCAGGTGGCAACTGTGTATCATTGTGTGTGCTGGCAGAGATGTGACTGTCTACCAGGCGGCAACTGTGTGTCATTGTCTGTGCTGGCAGAGATCTGACTGTCTACCAGCCACAACTGTGTGTCATTGTCTGTGCTGGCAGAGATCTGACTGTCTACCAGGTTGCCACTGTGTGTCATTTTGGGTGCTGGCAGAGATCTGATTGTCTTCCAGATGGCAACTGTGTGTCATTGTGTGTGCTGGCAGAGATGTGACTGTCTACCAGGTGACAACTGTGTGTCATTGTGGGTGCTGACAGAGATCCGACTGTCTATCAGGTTGCTACTGTGTGTCATTGTGTGTGCTGGCAGAGATCTGACAGTCTACCAGGCGGCAACTGTGTGTCACTGTTGGTGCTGGCAGAGATCCGACTGTCTTCCAGGCGGCAACTGTGTGTCATTGTTGGTGCTGGCAGAGATCTGCCTGTCTACCAGGTGGCAACTGTGTGTCATTGTGGATGCTGGCAGAGATCTGACTGTCTACCAGGTGGCAACTGTGTGTCATTGTGTGTGCTGGCAGAGATCTGACTGTCTACCAGGTGGCAACTGTGTGTCATTATGTGTGCTGGCAGAGATCTGACTGTCTACTCGGCGGCAACTTTGTGTCATTGTGGGTGCTGGCAGAGATCTGCCTGTCTACCAGGCGGCAACTGTGTGTCATTGTGGGTGCTGGCAGAGATCTGCCTGTCTACCAGGCGGCAACTGTGTGTCATTGTGGGTGCTGGCAGAGATCTGCCTGTCTACCAGGTGGCAACTGTGTGTCATTGTGTGTGCTGGCAGAGATCTGACTGTCTACCAGGCGGCAACTGTGTGTCATTGTGGGTGCTGGCAGAGATCTGCCTGTCTACCAGGTGGCAACTGTGTGTCATTGTGTGTGCTGGCAGAGATCTGACTGTCTACCAGGTGGCAACTGTGTGTCATTGTGTGTGCTGGCAGAGATCTGCCTGTCTACCAGGCGGCAACTGTGTGTCATTGTGGGTGCTGGCAGAGATCTGCCTGTCTACGAGGCGGCAACTGTGTGTCATTGTGGGTGCTGGCAGAGATCTGACTGTTTGTCAGGTGACATAGTGTTAGCAACTGCAGTCCATGAGTATCCCACAAACATGTTACTATCAAAATATCAAAATCCTCTCTCAGACAATTTTACTGCCAGCACACTACGTTTGGTTTTCAATTTCGAAGAAAATATACACTAGCATAGGCTCTCCTACGGTCTCAAGAGCATATACTCAGATTCAAAAAAATATTCAGATTGTCTACTGCGTACTGAACAGCAACATCAGGAATACCACTTAACAGTGCTCGGCATCCGTCTGACTGCCATGAGGCTTCGGGAATACCACTTAACAGGGCTCAGTATTCGACTGACTGCCATGAGACTTCGGGAATACCACTTAACAGGGCTCAGTATCCGTCTGACTGCCATGAGGCTTCGGGAATACCACTTAACAGGGCTCAGTATCCGTCTGACTGCCATGAGGCTTCGGGAATACCACTTAACAGGGCTCAGTATTCGACTGACTGCCATGAGACTTCGGGAATACCACTTAACAGGGCTCAGTATTCGACTGACTGCCATGAGGCTTCGGGAATACCACTTAACAGGGCTCAGTATCCGTCTGACTGCCATGAGGCTTCGGGAATACCACTTAACAGGGCTCAGTATCCGTCTGACTGCCATGAGGCTTCGGGAATACCACTTAACAGGGCTCGGTATTCGACTGGCTGCCATGAGGCTTCAGGAATACCACTTAACAGGGTTTGGACTGACTGCTGTGAGGCTTCAGGAATATCACTTAACAGGGCTCGGTATTCGACTGACTGCCATGAGGCTTCAGGAATACCACTTAACAGGGTTTGGACTGACTGCTGTGAGGCTTCAGGAATACCACTTAACAGGGTTTGGACTGACTGCTGTGAGGCTTCAGGAATACCACTTAACAGGGCTTGGCATCCGGTGACTGACGGGAGGCTTCAGGAATATCACTTAACAGGGCTCGGCATCCGACTGAATGCTGTGAGGCTTCAGGAATATCACTTAACAGGGCTCGGCATCCGACTGACTGCCATGAGGCTTCAGGAATACCACTTAACAGGGTTTGGACTGACTGCTGTGAGGCTTCAGGAATATCACTTAACAGGGTTTGGACTGACTGCTGTGAGGCTTCAGGAATACCACTTAACAGGGCTTGGCATCCGGTGACTGACGGGAGGCTTCAGGAATATCACTTA